TTTTTTCAAGGTTTTTTTTTTTTTTTTTTTTTTTTTGTTGCATCTGCGTAATTTTTTTTCCTCCCTTATAGAAGTGAAAATATCGTAACCTTTGTTCTTTAAAAGTGAAAAAAAAAACCTTTTTTTTACGTATATTGATGTTCTCCAAAGTGAAAAGTTCATAATGTAACAGTAAAATTCCAAGAACGTAGGAGCTATATTTTATATATATATTTTTTTATTTTTGTTGCAAGTCCCGTATTTATGCTATGTATGTGACTGTGAACCAACGTTGTCCGAACATGAGGTGTGGCAACAAGATACACCATACAAATGGAAGAATCTAGAAAACATGATCCAACTATCAATCATGTTGTCGGAACTGTAACACCAGACTAGGTTACTCATCACTTCCCTATCAAAAAAAAAAATCGGATTTTTTTCTTTCTTGAAAATGAGAAGGAAAGATTACAAAATTTACATTGAATTCTGAACATAGCTCCTCAAAATTTATTGAGTTAGTGATTAGGTTATTGTGTCATAATGCCCATATAGCATCATCATATAACGTACACTCTTCTTGGTTCAGTTTTCTTACTCTATATATTCATCCATGTTTGAACATGGAAGAAGGGAAAAAGGGTTATTAAACTAGCCGTTGCTACTGTCATTTCTTCCTCAAATTCTCTCCCCACATCTTGGCCTCAGCCATGGCCCGTTATCGGTCGATGTCTCTGTTCAAAACCCTATCCGTCTCTCCCGAGACTCGTCCTTCTCGGAGCCATCAAGATCGGATCTTCTTCCAAACCCTCCTCCTCCTCCTCCTTCGCCGCTCCTTTATAGTAACTTGCCGCCTCGTTTATCCTGGCTTCTCCTGTCATTTTTGTCGGGATCATAAGCTTGGTTTGGTATATACGTGAGGGCAGCGATCACATCCCTCCCACGAGGAACGGACTGCTCCCTCGTTCATAGCTGCAACCTCGATCCGCCTTATGGACTTTCTCCTGTCGTTGAACAGTGGTCTCGCCTGTTAAAATGTACCGCAAAAAAAGGCAAGAAAAGCCTGTTGGCTTTCTAAATTCGTTTTGGTAGGAAACTTAGTTTGGCAAGAAATATAGAAGATAGAGATACCGCACCACCATGAAATGTACCACAAAAATGCAAGACACGCCATAAAGTTGTAAACTTTCAAGCTCAAACGCTGGATACCGAACCAAAGTTGTAGCCTTTCTAGATTGATTCTTTTTGGCAGGAAATATAGAAGATAGATACCAAACCACTATGAAATGCTATGTACGATTAAAGGGGATGATGGTTTTACCCAAGCAACGAGGTTTTGTTCACCACGTGCCAGCGTGCTGTCGTGTCGATAGCTTTACATCCAGTAATCAGCTCCGGAAAAACTTAACCAAAGCTCTAAACCCGAAATCAGAGAGCTTTGGGGGGAAATCCTCATCCAATAATATGTTGGAGGACTTGAAATCTTTGTAAATAACAGGAGGTTTGGCCTTATCGTGTAGGAATTCCAACCCTTTTTCGCTGCTCCTGCAGCTATATCTTCATTCTTGTGTTCCATTCTAGTGGTTTCTTATCGGGCGGAAGATCTGGAAATGTGGAGACCCGAAAGGGAGAAAGATAATGCCTTTTTGTGAGATGACAAGTACTAATAACAAAAGGAAGAATGTGCTTAAATCTGACTCTTTCACATATGCACAAGATGTTCCTCCTTTTTCCATTCAAATTTCTTGGATTGCACATAAAGTGTAGAGAAAGCAAGAGAGATTTACCATGAAGACGATCTTCCAATGATCCGAAGGGCATAAATTCAAAGACGAGGAGCCGCGAATCTCCATCAGCACAATAACCAATCAAAGAAGAATAAGCATAATCCATCAGAAATTCTCTGTTACGTTGCAGTCCATTCCTATCCAATTTCTTAACAGAAACAACCTGGAAATGTAAAAAAACAGCCTCTTTCACGTCCATCTCCTATCAAACTTTCCGATGTTTAAGCAAAATTTTACAACCTAGCTAGGCGACTTAGTCTTAATCATTACCGAAGCAGAACCTCCTAAACCTAATCCACATGGAATCAAATATATAGCTCCATGCTCTTTCAATTTATAAAAGAGGTAGAAAAGATTAACTGACCAGTGCTCTTGAGCCTTTCCTTGAACCATTCGCACAAATCTAGAGAGTCGGGATGAAAATTGCTAGTCGAAGTAGTTTCATCCCTTTTTGATGCTCCATTACCTCATTGATCTGAGCTTTTCCCCTACCTGCAATCCATTGCTCATAATATTCCTTAAATCCATGGTTTGGAAATTACAGACTGTGATTTCAGAAGCTAAACCTTCAAGGGTACCAACATCTAAAACCCAAAAACAACTATGTGACCTCTAGATTGCATCGATATCGTACTCTTTTGAGACATACAACTAAATTTCCCGACTCAGACAAGATCATGTTCCTTCAAAAGATTCACTTCTTATCCAGAAACAATAATCACCAGAAGCAAACCCCTACTTGATCCACTGCTCAATCAAATTCAACAACCACGGATTTCACAGCTACCCAAATTCTCCACCTTATTCCAACAATTCAGTGAAAAGTAGCAGCAAGATTTTACATTACACTCAAGAGGGCACTTCAGTCGAAAACTATCAGATCATTACAACTTCCAACCAGAACAAATCAAGAAGAATTCAACCACAGGATCTTGATTCCCTCCATCTTCACTGAAAAACTCAACTAGGGTCTAATCAGAACAAGCCCATCAGCTGAAACACTCGTTAGGAATTTCAATCGCCCGGTAACAGTCACGAGATCAAGTGCTTCAATGGTAAACAAATAGGTAAACCCTAATAGGATCAGACTACCAGATGTTGGGCATGTAACAATCGAACATAAAAAAAAAAAAGTGACACTAACCAGAAGATAAAATGGAAATTGTCGGGTGGGATTGCTTCTGATCCTCAGATACCTTCTGCGGATCCAGCTTCTCTTCTTCCCTCGATTCGAAACAGGACAAACAACCCATCCATTCCCACCAAATTTTCCCGAGAAAAATGAAAAATTTCAGCAAACCCTTGAACCTCACGGACAAAGAACAAGTTGTTAGCCACTCCGGGTTCGACTTTTTAATTTTCTCCGTCTCACATATTTTAGCTTCATTATTATACAAAGGGATATTAATATCATAGTCCTTTTAAAAAAATATATATATTTCAAGGAAAGAAGCAGGGATTACTAGATAAATTTACAAGTTAAAAAAAACTCACTTGAAAACATCAAAATTTTGATATATCTTTCGAAAACATTAAGACGTTGAGAATTTAAAATTTACATATTGTTGTAAATTATATTAATTATGATAGAATTTATTGTTTCATTTATAAATAAATCTATAACAATTATCTTGCAGATTTGACAAATTATTTCTATCTTCTCGTTATTCGGGTGCAGTATACCAATTGGGCCTTACTACTACACAGATTGGGCCTTTCAATCATTAACAAGATCCATTTCACTAATCCATTCCAAAGCCCAATAGTTACACTTGGGCCCTTCATCGTCCCGAGGAATCAGCGCGCGAAAACCGTGGGTGGGGGCCACTGCCATGTCAGCGAGATCGTGAAACCTCGTCGTGAACATCGTGGGACGCACTACTGATCATCGGTCTGTCAACGGTCAACGCAAAAAAAAAACATTAGTTACACAGAGAGGCAAAAAAGAAAAACAAAAAAACGAAAGAAAACCCCACAATTAGTATCGAAGAGGGATCCCTAATAATGGATTAAACAAGAAGAATCCTCCACTAATCTCGTTTCCTCTCTCTCTTTCATTTTCCCCTCCACCACCTTCTGTCTTATCCTCCAAAAAAAAAAACAGAAACCAGGAAACAGAGAACGACAAAACCAGTTCAGTTATTAGGCTTTCCGTTTAATTTTTCCCTGCGAAAATGGAGAAAACCGGTAGCTTCTCGCGGAACACTACCGAATCGGATGGTCAAAAGCATAAACACCATTGCGAAGAAACCGATTCAGGAGACAACATTCGATCTCCGAAATCTCCGTACCCGGCGACGAATTCCTCTTTCGCCGACAGCCTCCGTCGGGAAATGGAGCCCGTCGACGGTTTCATAGAGACCCTTTACTCGTCTGACGCGGCGGAGCATCCACCGGAGGAGATTCCCGCGGCGGTGGAGTCGTTTCCGGAGACGGTGGATTCGTTGGTGTCGAAGATGGAGTCTTCTGGGTTCGGCCGTGACGAAGACGACGACTCTGTTTTCATCGAGGCCCTGAACCGGATCTCAAAATCGGTTATCAGGTTGCGCGAGCTAAACCGGTCCGATTCGACCGGGGTTTCGTCGTGGCTAAACCGGGCGAGCTCCGTTCAGCACCGAGCGGTCTCCTTTCTCGACGACGAGTTCCGTCGTCTCTTGGAAGGATATCAGAAAAATTCAGATGCAAACATCAACTCAGATCGCCAGAATGAGAAAGGAACACCAAAATCTCACAAACAAGGCTCGTTCAACTCGGTTAACTCGGTCCACGAATCGGACCGGTGCGTCTTACCGGACCGAGATCCGACTCAACCGGAGGAGGATGAGGACCGGTTCCCGGATTTTCCGCCGGAGACGATCTCCGCCATGAACAAGATCGCCGGAGCAATGATCTCGGCGGGGTACGAAGCGGAATCTTGCTTGTTGTACGAGATCTCGAGGCGCCACGCCTTCAAGGACGAGTTGGGAAAGCTAGGGTTCGAAGGCATAAACGTCGAAGACGTTCAGAAGATGACGTGGGAGACACTCGAGACTGAAATCGCCACGTGGATCTCGATGGTCCGCCATTGCTCCACCGTGCTCTTCCCCGGGGAACGTAAGCTCTGCGACGCCGTCTTCGCCTCCTCCCCTACCGTCCCGAAACGTCTATTCACCGACCTCGTATCTGCCGTGACGATCCGATTCCTCGATTTTTCCGGTGCCGTTGTCCTCACGAAACGTTCCTCGGAGAAACTCTTCAAGCTCTTGGACATGTACGAGACATTGCGGGATCTGGTGCCGGCCATGGACGACTCGGCCTCTGATCTGATCAACGAGATAAATCTCGCACAATCTCGGCTCGGGGAAGCAGTGGTAAGTATATTCTCCGAGCTCGAGAACTCGATAAAGAGCGACAACGGAAGAACGCCGGTGCCTAGCGGCACGGTCCATCCCTTAACCCGATACACCATGAACTACCTGAAATATGCCTGCGAGTACAAAGAAACCCTAGAACAGGTCTTCGAACATCACGAGAAAACATTATCCGACCAAACCGATCCCAAACCCGAACCCGACGAGACCAAACCCAACAACGACAATCATCAAGATCCGGACAACGGAGACGCCGAAACATCTCCTTTCGCGAAGCGGATGATGAGAGTACTCGACATCCTCGACGCAAACCTAGACATGAAATCTAAACTCTACCGTGATCTGTCGCTTCGTTACATATTCCTGATGAACAACGGGCGGTACATTCTTCAAAAGATCAAAGGATCGCAAGAGATTCGCGATCTAATGGGCGCATCCCGGATCCGGAAATGTTCGTCGGAGCTGAGGCAATACCACAAGAGCTACCAGAGAGAGACGTGGGGAAAGGTCCTGCAGTGTATGAACCAAGAAGGCATCCAAGTGAACGGAAAGATATCGAAACTCGTCCTCAAGGAGAGATTCAAGTGTTTCAACGTTCTTTTCGACGAGATCCACAAGACGCAGAGCACGTGGATCGTGAGCGACGAGCAGATGCAGTCCGAGCTTCGGGTTTCGATTTCGGCCGTGGTGATCCCCGCTTACAGATCGTTCCTCGGAAGGTTTAAGCAGCATCTCGACACCGGAAAACAGGCGAGCAAGTACATAAAGTATCAGCCCGAAGATATCGAAGCCATGATCGAGGAGTTGTTCGACGGGAATCCGAATTCGATGGTTAGGAGAAGGAACTGAAAGGGTTCGATTCAGAGTTTGTGATCCAAGGTTTATGTTTTGAGGATTGTCTGTTTGGGTTCGAATCTGTTTTTGAAATGACATGTTTCTTTTTTGGGTTTGGTAACGTAGAATCAATCGAACACTCGAAAATCTTTGTCGAACATTTTTCTCTTTGAAATTGTTTTGTATGTGTATGCCGTCTCATAAATATTGGAGGTAATGTTCAATACATATATAACTTTAAAATATTTATATATATATATATATATATATTAATAATTAATTTATATTTTTTAATTTAATTAATAAATCATTATAAATTATTTTTAATATTTAGTTTAATCGGATTATAAAATATTTTTTTACAAAAATATTTAATATTTTACAAAATATACTAATTAATAGATAAAATTTCAAACTATATAAAAATAAAATAAAAACTATGAAAAATAAATTATACGATTGATTACAATACAAAATTATAAAAAACACATCAATTATTATTTTTAAAGAGTAATCCAAATTTTTTTAAAATATTTTGATAGAACTTTGTTTAAAAATTGTTTATTTTTTATACTAATAATAATGATTAAAAATTATACAATAACATTTATCTTTTATACTAATTTATATATTTTTAAAATATTGAAGGATTTAAAAATTGTTTATTTTATTTCAATATTTTTACAAATTGTACAATTACTTTCAAGTGTAAATGAAGATGTAACAAAATTACATTTCTCTACATTTGAAGATCTATGCTTTCAAGTGTTTGGTCTTGCAGCTTCAAGTCTCTTCACTTTGTCGATCAGATCAGCAATTGTTACAGAAGCTTCCTGTTTTTACAGAAGAAGAAGAAGATTCGTGACTTATGATGATGAGATTTGTGTGTTACGAGAGAAAAAAAAAGTTTTTTTTAAACCTTCAGTTTCGTCCTCAAGCTATTTTCAGTGATGTCTCGGCGGCTTCTATCTCGTTGAAAGATATCGATCAAAGCAATGGTTTCCCTTTCCATCTCCTCGTTCTTCGCCTTGGCCTCGTCCAGCTGCTCCAAGGACGAAACCGGGTTAGAAAAGATCGGTTTTTTCCCGTTAGGATATGATTTCGGGTAACTTACTTGCGTCTGAAGCGACTGTTTTTCTCGCCGCAATTCAGTTACAAGGTTAGCCAAGTCTGTTTCCTCGGATCTGCAGTGGATAAGATTGTCCAAATGTTTACTACTATAACTGTCATGAGCCGAAATTTCGTGATAAAGATGATATCAAGAAACATCCAAGAAGTGAACCTTTTCAACGGAACTCGATCCGGGCTCTTCTCTTCCGCTAAATCCCGAGCTTTCGTGACAAGGCAACCTTCTTTCCGATCAACCTGTTTCTGCCAAGAGATTTTAAAACAGATTCAGAAGATGCGTGTGTACTAACGGCCGGTCACCAATACTTCGAGGTTTTACCTCTTTAGATGGCGGAAATCTGAACAATTGGTTTCTTCCGAGCGTTTCAGAGCCTCTCGTCTCGCTGTTTACGACTTCAACGGGCTCGTCTACCACTCGTGAACCCTTCTTGTTATCTTCTACTTTCGATTTTCCGCAACAAGTAGAAGAAGCCTTCTTTTTTCGGGGAGTGATTTCCTCGACGTCAGCTTCGGGTTTCCGCAAGTTACGCCTCGGGGCATACCCGATCTGGTGGCACTTGCTCGACCTAAACAATCAAAAAATGAACAGCTTATGAAGAGAAGAATCTCAAGATGATATATATTCCAGAGCGTAGCGAAATCTTGTTACCAATATGATTTCTGATACGTGATCAAACGGTTTTCCAATCTCGAAAGCACGGTCGTACGTTCGAACCCTTGTTTATCGTGAGCCGGTTCTACGAAATTCGCCTCCAACACACCTGTATGTATAGAACGAATATACAATTATCTATACAATGTTCATACATTTTTCCGCAAAACTTGAAAAACTCGGACGATGTTGTACCTATAACGCCTCGTCCATCGCTCCCCGCAGCGTTCCATACCCTCCAAAACGGCTGACATACGAGGAAATCGTATCAAGTTTTCAGTTTCATACAAGTTTTGTAACTAACTATAACTAACTAACTAACTAACTAACCTTGATAAGACGGTTCTTGTGGTAAACGTTGAAACCTTGTATATCGATATGATTGTGAGCGTCTTTCACGAATCCGAGCTTTATAGAAGCAACTACCTGAACAGAAGTCCCGGACGGAAAAATCAGTAAGAGAATCCGTAACGAAAAGGAACTGAATCATACATATGTATATATGAAGATTTTCGCCCCGAGATGGTGTTTATTACGGTTTTGTTGGGCGCTTCGTTCGGATTCAACACGGGTTTGTACATCAGCTCCTGGACAAGCATCATGTCGTCGGTTATGTCGTGATGTTCAACATCTTTGCCACGCAGAATGATCTTGAAGCTTCGAGGAAGTCTCAGATAAAGGATTGAAGCGTAGCTCTGCGTGCACAAAAAGGCGTTAAAAAGAGCCGAGACAGTATACATTCCATGTCCAAATCTTCAAGAAACTAACAGTACTTACCCGTAAAGAATGCCGATATGTAAGGAAATGCCGAGAGTTTGGATACTTCTTCGCCATCTCTATGCTTTTCGGGTCCCTGTTCACGCCCCTAAGTTGGATATCCTGCGAAGAACGAAGAACGAAATCCACCATTTTCTTGATTTCCTTAACACACGCAAACTCATTCCCGAAAACAAGAAACGGATCGATAAGAGGGCCGTACATAAGGATCGGTATCGAAATCTAGCTCCAATCGCTCTTGATCGTCCTCCCACAGATTGTATATCACAATCCGAGTTCCTTGCTCGTTTAGAAAATCAAACTGCATCGTAAAAGCAACAAATGAAGACGAGAAATTATAACAATCTCGAGCATTTACGAGACGAGGGAGCCGAAGAAAAGACCTGTTTGAGTAAATCCGCACGGCTGAAATACGGCGACCAATCGATGATAGTTCGTAAACGATCGTTCCAATCGTCGAGCGTAGTGTGTATCGTCTCGTTCCATTTGTTCCCGATCCTCTCGAAATCGATCTTGACGAAGGCAAGAACTCGAAATTAGTGTTGTAACTAATTTGTTACATTTATATATGCAGCAGAGTTTCATTACAGAATCTTACCAGAGGAACAACTATGTCCTCCTGTCTTGTCTCTCGTAGATACGTAGATGACAACATCGCTATGCTTTGTGTCGAACTTCAACAAGACCACGACAAGACAAGCTTTCTTTAGACCGAACCCGAACGAAAAAAAAAACTTTTTTGTTGTAAAGGGACTCACTTTCTGCCATCATTTCCTCGGCAACGAGAAAACACGATTGCATCTGCACCAAGCCTCATGGTACTAGTCTTTAGACCGTTCCCGTCTGAACCGTTGCGAAAAAACGCGGATTTGTTACCAAGTATTCACGGAATAGATCGAAGTTTTAGAACATTCAAAAGAATTTGAATCTTTCTTACGAAAGTTGTGGAACCGAGAGATTGTTGTCGAGAAACTTACATTGGCCGATTGTGTTTGCCTGCTTGCGTTTTCCTGAATACCCGAATGACATGCACTGCCGAACCCTAGTCGGATTCATTCCACCTCCGTTGTCTGTAACACACATTAGATATATACATACACATATATCATTAGGGATATATACAACATGAAAATATTTGTTAGTTTCTTTTTTAAATTCGATTTTTTTATGTATCAAACATGACAGTATTATGCGATTCTTAACATGGTATCAAATTTCTAATAATATCTGCGTATTTCTCTAATACTAAAAGTACGAATTAGATATCAGAGATTCAAAATCTTTCTGCAATTTTTTCAGATCCTAGTTTATCCTGAAACATACATATATATATATATTTTTTATAATATGTGTGTATATATCTAATAATACAACAAAATAGAGATCAAAGATGAGACGTTCCTGGAGATCAAGAAATATAGAGTTAGGGGACAGAATCTTTAACCTTCGATTATAAGCATGTGGGTTTTGTCTCTCTGGTTTATTGTGGAATCGACATGAACGTAAGTAGCTCCATTAGAAACCTCGTCCAAAGAATTATCAAGAAGTTCAGCCGCCGCTGCAAAAAAAAAAAAAAAAAAAAAAATCTCAGTTCAATTCAAAAACCCAAATCAATATTAGGTTTCACGAGTTCAGTTCATGTTTTTTTCTTACCTCCAAGAGCCCACTTATGAGAAGTTGCGTTCGAATGCAAAAACTTGGGATGAACCCTAACCCTATCACTTCCAACTGCCATATACAACAAAACAATATCATAATAAAAACCCTAATTCAAAGACGATCAAATTGATTGAAGGGTAATCGAAATCATACCAAAATTTGTGTCATAATCATCAGCAAGCCCTTCCTCATAGTCTCCAACTTTCCAGAACTGTTTGCAACGCCTTCGCGGCTCGGGTCTCGATATCGTCACCGGCAAAGCTTGCAAGACGGGAATCCTCCCGTCGGAAGTTGAATTTCCGGGAGAGGAGGGCTCAATCTTTGGTCTCTTGCCGAACAAGAAACCGGTTTCATCCTCGACCTCGTCATGACCTCGCTTGTGACTGGAGTTGTCGGAAAATTCACCGTCCGGAGTTGAGCCACGACCGTGGGAGGTGGAATCCGACATCGGGTTTTCAGCCTTTGGTTTGGAGATCATTCGAGAAGCCGAGAAATCGGTGGGAAACGGAAGAGAAATCGCGACAATTAAACCTGTTCGGATGCCCAGAAAAAGCCGAGAAAGTTTTCCTTCTCACGCTAGGGTTTCGCAATCTCACAGACCCGAAGAGTCGCGGACTCTTGGCGACTTATTTATAGGTTACGAGAAATGCGTGTTTCTTTCCCTTTTGTTTTCTTCTCTTTCTTATTTTTATTAAATAAATAATTGTTTTCTTAATTTCGACAGTTATCTTTTTAAGAATAAAAAATATAATTAATCCTTCTTTCCATAATTTATTTCGTACAATTAAGTCCTTTCCTAAGCGATTAAAAGAGGACATAATTAATTGTTCCGAGTATTTTACAATTTTAATTTTTTTTTTTTGATAATTTTATCTCTTTGTCACTCTAGTCAAAGTGGACATGAATGAAGTATCTTATATTTTTAAGATACATGAAACCGAATTCGAATATCATTTCATTGTCCAAACTTTTATCCGTGGGATCCGATACTTGAATTTTATTATCTACGATATAATATACCAGTAGATATTCGAATCCGAACATTCAAATTTGGTTAAATGTTTTCACACATTTCTACATAAAAATTTATCTAAAAATCAACCAAATAAATATTTATATCTAAAAATCATCAACCTGAAATCTATCAATATCCAAGCCAAAATGTGAAGGGATAAGATTAATAGAATCAGAATAGAAAACCTAGGGTTATATGAGTGTATAACATAATAAATATCTGGAGCCTAGATTTAGTATCCACCAATAAGCAATAACTACTCTTTTCATACACTAATAAGGTAATACCCGATTTAGGATTTTTCTAAAAATAATACCATATCTCACAATGATAAATTCACAAAATTAAAATTTTTAAAAAATATTTATTTTATAAAATCAATTTTGAATGTGATCGTTGAAAATTATGAAGAGTTTTAATTTTAAATGAAGTTTAGACATTAATGTGTTTCCTTATTTGGTTTGTGTTTATCTATTTTTTTTAATCATATCAATATGATAAGATTTAGATTTTTTATTAAAAAGAAACAAATTAATATCTAAACTCCAAACAATTTAAAATTCTTCCTAATTCCGGATCATAATTGGTCAATTAGATTTTTTTAAAGGTGAGTATACTGAACATCTGAATTTTTAAGAAAATCAATATGTTGTGACGAATGATATATTAATCTATTAATTATCAACTAATATTGTAACACTATTATTACAGATAAAATTTAAATTTTGCGTAATGATTGTGTAAGAGGTTAATTTTATCATAAGAATATCAAGATGGACCCGTGGAATATCCTGATTTTTATAAGTATGTGATTTCAATTTATTATCTCTGTTTTAGTTTTCGTGAAGTCCAAACGGCCCGAATCCAATACTGAACTCAGTTACTCAAAAATATTAAACTTGTCAAAAAAATTGAGAAAATAGTTGATTTTTATTGATTTTATAGATATTTTGGTAATTTGATTTAAAATATTATTATAAATATATTAAAATATCCATGATATAAAATCATCATAAAAAAATTCCAAATCCAAACCTTTAATATAGATTCTTGATCTCATTGCATCCGCCTTTGATTTCGTTACTTAGCGAGTATCCACGTCCCAAATATCCACACAAAATACGATACCCGAAAATCCACAAGTCTCCCTACGGCATATGGAAGCAGTTTGAGCAAAGTCCGACTTCCATCCAACTTTGGCTTCTGTGGTGAAAAACCTTGCTGTTTCCGTATCCTTAAACGGCATGCATTTCGTCCTCAGTCATAAAAAGGACGAAGACCATTGGACTGTAGAACCGACACGTAGCACGCATCCGGCAAAGGAGTACCATTGCAGAACGTAACTGCGTAGCACATGATCTCAACGGAAGATTCTACAATGGCCTAGAACGAGAGAGAATTATAAAGCGCGTGTTTTAAAACCGCCCTTTGTCCTGATCTCTGAAACTTCCAGAAGTTTCTCATCTGTTCTCGAGCTTCCATTATGGCTCCATAAAAACCATCTTAGCTCTCGGACAATCTACCTATTGTTTCTCAGATTTTCCCGGGAAAGCGACAGAAAAAAAGAATAGAAAAAGCCATGGATGATTCATTCTTCAGAAGTCACTGGAATTCTCCATTTTACCCGACGCAAAGAAGACCTAGCGCGTGGGGGATTCCTGTTCACGATGTTAGAACGGCGGCGTCTCCTAGAGTGGTGGCCGTTCATCCGAAACAGGGGATTCAATCGGCGGAGCCGTCGAAAGTCGTGAAGATTCCGGTTCAGTTTGTGGACACCGATCGAAGGAGGTCCGAGTCGGAATCGGCGGTGAGGATTCAGAAGGTATTTCGCGGGTTCATGGTGAGGAAGAGTGTGAAGAAGATAGCGGATGTGAGGAGGGAAGTGGATGAAATAGAGAGCAGGATATCGAGGACAGAGGTTATTGATTTGATGCGGAGAGATTCGAGAGAACGTTTGGGAGTAAGTGAGATGTTGATGAGTTTGTTGTTCAGATTGGATTCAGTGAGGGGATTGGATCCTGGTGTAAGGAATTGTAGGAAGACGGCGATCCGGAAAGTGATTGCGTTGCAGGAGGCTTTGGACGCCATTGTTGCGGCCGACGGAAGCTCAGCAGCGGAAACAACCGGGGAAGAAGCGATAGAGATCACAGAGGCGGTGGAAGTTCCGGTGGATGAAAGAAAACCCGCGGATTCATGTCCCGTGACGCAAATTGAACTTCAAAATCCCGATCTCGTCGGCGGTGAGTCTGGATCTGCAGAAGTAGTAACAGAAACAGATGACATCGAAGTTCCTAAAATTCAAACCGAATCTGCACCAGATAAATCTCCAGAAATCACTCATGAAAACGAACGAAGCGAAGCCAAGGGAGAGGGACCAGAGGAGATCGAGCGAACAGAGAGCCAAACAGATTCGTCTGCAAATCCAGAGATCCCCGAGGAAAAGAACGAGGAGAACCAACGAAGAGCGAGAACGAGAAGATTCTGGAGAGGATGATGGAGGAGAACGATAGGATGATGGACATGATGGCGGAGCTGTTCGAGAGGAACGAGTTGCAGACTCGGTTACTGAGTTCGCTGTCGCAGCGAGTCAAGCAGCTGGAGAAGGCCATGATCTGCGACAGGCTCCGCCGCAAGAAGAAGAGGAACACGGTGGTGACGAAGCCGGAGAAGTTGCCGGAGGGGAAAAATTCATGATTTGTGGGTTTGAATCGTATTTGTGGTGGGTATTTATGATCTCCACTTGGTTTGGGTTTTGGTTTCTGTCATTATTGGGCTTTGTATTGGGCCATCGGGTCAAAAAGCTATGATGTTTTGCGTGAAATTTTAATTTTATATAATGAAAATCCGAAAAAAAAAATCTATATAATGGTGTTTGCGGTTGTTAAAATGTGTCCAATCACAAATGGTAATTTCGAAATGATAATTTTTAATATAAAAAATTGAATTGAAATTGTAAAATATTTTCGATTTTGTGAATTGTGGTATTAATTTAAAATATTTTTATATTTGGATATCAATTTTGTAATATTTTAATAATTGAAATATTAATTAAAAAAATAAAAAATTTAGATATTTTATAAAGTTAAAGGTGTTTGTATAAGATTTTCGTTTGACATTTACTAGATTTTAAATTCACTGTCATTGTAATTTAAGACCCTATATTCTTATTAGGAATTGTATTTTTTAGGGCGATAGTTCCATTCCATCGCATGGTAATGCAGTTTTGTTGAAAAGGCCTCCTTCGTCCCGTTCTTCGTCATCGCATGAACTGATACAAGCTAACCCAACAATTTTATCGTCTAGTTTTATCCGCTTCTCCATCCCTCGTTGCTCTCCCGACTTTTCCGGAACCCGCAATTTATCCTGTGTTTCGCCCGTTATTACTTTTGTAGGGACGGAACCAAATGTCGGATTATTAGAATATTTTATAAATATTAACAATTAATATGATTCAATATTAGTTTTAAATCATAGATTTTTTAACATTAGCTATTAATAAGATATAAATGTGATCATAAAAAAAATCATGGATTTTTTAACATTAGCTATTAATAAAGCATAAATGTGATCATTTATGAAATGTACTTAAATCGTAATTTCGCTAAAATTTAGTAACTAATATGCAGATACCAAAAAGTAATTTTTTATAATTGGGTGGACGTTTTAAAAAATACCAGATAGTTAAATCTATAAATGGTAGTGGTCCCTAAATCATACATGTAGTGAAAAAAAAAATACAAAATATTCTTACACTATTCCCATTTGTTTGTAAATCTAAATGTGCGTAAAAATTCAGAAGACTACAAACGGTTTCGTTTGTATCAATATGACGACAGATTCAAGTACACATTTTACCGTTCTTATTTGTTTATTCTTGATAAAACATGTCGTTAGATCCATGTGATATTAATTTCCGCATAAAATTCTGTTAATTGTTTATCAAGTAGTATCGAGCGAAACGATTATGTTTTATTAAGAACTTTGAAACAATTTCTAAATCAGTTAATTATGTTGTATATGTGTGCGTATAGTGATTGATTAAGAATTGTAGGATGTATTTTTTATAAAAAAAAATTGATTCGCCCCTAAACATGTGTACGTATATTGATTGATTAAAAATTGATATATTTTCTGTTTTTTGGTATGATTTTGATTCTGTTAAATAGATTCAGAACATATATATATATATATATATATATATATATATATATATATATATATATATATATGTGTGTGTGTGTGT